ACCTTGTGAAAAGGAGAACTCAGAGTAGTCAGCATGCATGGCAGAATACAACGTCTTGTTCCTGCTGAGTAAGCCCACAGTGCTGCACCTGCATCTCGGACACTGATTCTGACACAGCTCTCATTCTTCCATGTCCAAATGGCAGAACAGGACAAGGAAAGGTGCAGGGATATGCAGAGCTGTGAGGAAGCTTGTGTGTGAGGAATGATGAATAGCTAAGGGACTTTTATCCTGAAAACCTCTAAAGTTGTTAGAAGTAAATAGGGAACATTATTCACTGTCTTCCATATTAGAGGACTGAGGAGGCAACAGATTATTGATGTTTCATAAGAAATGGAAAGTAGATTAGCTGCAGAGCTTCTTACTGTGGTTTTCATATTCACATATCTTCTCTTGAGCACTGTTGGAGACAGGACAGAGTTACAAGGGTTCCTGTCTGAGCTGCTCCTGATGGCTTGTTGCTGTATTTATGCATGATCCAGGTGGAACACACAAAGTCCTCAGAAGACAGAGTGAGATGATTACAGCTTGGGGTAGCTCTGTAGAGTAACACAAATCACTTGGAGACCTGGACTCGATGGATCAGCATTCATTTTTACATGGCCAAGAATGTTGTCATATATCCAGAATAAAGAAAATAGTTTGCTCTTGTATGTTCCAGAAAACAGTTCCAAAATTGTGTCACTGAGAAGCAGTTAATTATAATGGTGCATAATCAGTTAAACATCTGTTCCTGGAGTGATATTACTCAAAGTGCAGTGCTAATATCATCTTGGATCCAAAAGTGAGGAATAAAAAGCAGAAATAAGGAGTGTTACTTTTGTTTGCAGCTACCGAGAAAAAGATGAGCAGAAAGTGGTGTTACATTTTAGTTTCAAGCATGATTTAAGAACTACAGAATCTGTGCTGTATCCTTCAATGTGTTCTCATAAATCTGTTTTACTTGTTTGAGGTTAGGAAGGTATTTGATCATGTCCCAGAAAAAAAAGATGTCTGATCTTAATTTGGGAAATAATAAGATACAGTTATTGAGAACTCAAATGAATTCAGAATAAGAATGCCAGTGAAAATCTAAGTGAGAGTAATTAACCTTTGGAAGACATAGGAATTAAAATGGAAACATTACCTTCTTAAATTAAGACTGAATATTGTAAAACTTCAACAAGTTAGTGGCTTGACATGTTTATTACTGGGAGGGGTTCTTACCTTTGTGATCACATTGTCTCTTCTGGGCATTAAAATAAATGACCTGGTGAAAATCTACTTCCAGTATATGTTCACATGTACTTCTATGAATACTACCAAACCCATGATTTTAGTGGTTTGGGGTATGAAATACCAAGACAATCTATGCAATGTTTCTTTCTGTATGGTAGGAGCTGCCAGTCTAGGATACTACTTGTAAACAAGTGACTCATTGTTTTTAATACAGAAGTAGAATCCTGCTAGTATCAAAATAGTGTTGTTGACTGTACAGTAGTACACTGTGTATTTGGAAGCACTCAACACTGGATAGTGTCCAAGTGTCTTTTGGCTTGACACTGGCAAACGTGTTCACCAGGTGTACTTCATCTGTGAATAGCTCTGCTTTGAATTCTGCCAAATACTCTGGCTCTAATTTAACTCTTGAGATGTCATACCCAGTGATTTTATTGGTATTTGTTTGTTATTTGATGGTGCACAACTAATTCATTTTCTCCATCAAATTTAATCCTTGCCACTTTACCTAAAACTTACTGACCACAAAAAAGAAGTTGCAGTTTAAAGATAAGCACTGTGTCTACATTCTTCTGTAATGTATTTCTACTTCCCCTGTCTGTTACTGCCATTAGTATTTTTTATTGAGTGGTGGGTGTTGGTAAAGGGGATGCAACTGAAACCAGTATAGCTCTAAGTCAGTGTATAGCAGCTTTATTGCTGAGATGAAAGTCATGAAGAGCTTTGTGATTTGAATGTTGCCATCCTTTGATCTTTAAGTTACTCATTAAGTTTAATGTTTCAGTAGCTACTGTTTTGAAGGTCTTCTTCTGTACCTTGTATTTTAAATTTAAAAAAAAAAAAGTTATTTCTGTAATTTGGCACTGTTTCTTTCCTGTACTAGGAAACGTGACCTTTTAGCCGTATTAAAAAGATTTCCTCTTAGACTTTCTTAGTACTTTTAAAAATAATTTATGCAACAATGAAAGTAGTATGTTATAATTTTTAAACACGGGCTGAACAAGTTAGATGTCTGGTTTTTTTATATCACTTTCAATAAAGCTTGCAGCTAGTTGGAGAACCTAGAGTTAGATCATGTGTGTGCAAAAGTGTATTTTATGTACTGAAATAACAATTCTTTAAAAGAACATAGAAATCATACTGAAGATACACTGGTAAATTCTGGTAAATACTTAGGTAATCTAGGATTACTTTTGTATTATTGATGGATAATCTCTTGGATAACAGGTAGGAGTATATACATTATATTATATCAAAATTCTAATGCCACAGGAGTAATCCAAGGTATTAGAGGAAAGGAGAAATCTTAATGCTGGCAGTTCTTCAATTGCAAATGCTTTCTAGACAATGAAATTACTGCTATTTCAATTTGTAAAGTAAAAATATAGGGAGGGGGTTTCACAATGGTGCTAGATTTCAGTTTTCTGCTGTGTAAAACAGCCACTAATAATTTGGAATTAAATTGAGATACAATGCATATGCTGGGGGGAAAGGTTGTGTTTAAAAATGAAAAAAATAAAACCCCCACAAAACATTTATAACACTTGAAGCCAGCAAGTTTTTTTTCTCCTCTGTAACTTAAAACTGGCTTTCTAAGACAATGTGCAAACCATTATAAAAGTATTCAAGAGCGAAGTCCTTTGCCAGAATTCGGTAGCAGGATCTTGAAATGTTTTCATGGCATCGATGCTGCAGGCATTTGAGGAAGCTGCTGTTGCCTTCCACTGTTCAGAGCTCCTCCCTTCATGTGTAGTCTCTACAGCTGCTACCCTGATTCTCTGGTATTGGTAAAAAATTGTTGCTGCCACCCCTTTCTGCAAACAGGTACCATTTTCACAGGAAAAACTTTTTAAAGTCACATAAATTTAATGGCACCATTAATGAGGTCTGTATGGAAAGGGCTTATGGTACAGCATGCATGATCAAAGATTGCAAGACTTACTTAATACAGTATGTATTTATACAGCATTTTGATGGAGTATGTGTCCAAATGTTATTGTCAATAAATCTTGACAATAGCCAAGCTGAGAAAATACAAACTGACAATAGGAGCTGGCACATGAGTAGCAAAAGTTATACTTTGGGGATTTCTAATAAAATAAAAGGATATTGAATGACTTAAAACAAGCTTTTTCTGAATTTAATTCTTCCCAGGACACATCAATTGTATATTTAAGCACTTACATTATGGGCCTGGTGAGAGTGATAGTTGCAGTTTCTGGGATTTTTGTCAAGAACAGAGAGTGCAGAACATGTTCTCTGTTCTTTCAAGGTGACTAAGATCTTACTTTACTTTAATGAATATAGAATGGAGAAACTTGCTCCTGCCAGTCTGACAGAAATATATCAATAGTTCCTTTTGTGCAAGATGATAGCTAGATGATAGGTACTTGATTCATTTTAATCATGTTTGTGAGAGAGATAAATTCCCATTTTCTGTAGTGAGAAATCAGCTCTTTGTAATTGGTTCAGCATTTAAAGTCAAGTCCATCCATATTCCTTGATTTGCTATTTTTAAAGATACTCAAAATACAACTTATAAGTTTACCATAAGAAACGTATAGTCTGTGGCAGAAATGCAATATTACAGTATTTGCTTTCTGGTTTAAGTACACAATATGAATATTAGCTTAATTTTAGCATTTACCAAAATCTGTAGGCTTGTCTAAAGCTAAATTTATACTTTTATCTGTAGTATTTGTTGTCCAGAAAGTGTAGTTGAAAGCAAGCAAAATTTTTATTTATGATACAAATGATACATGTTGTATTTTGATAGATAACTCTGTCATTTTTGGCTCTGTTAAGACACATGTTGATGGTGTTCATAAATGACATTCGATATTTAGGAACAGTTAAAAATCCTCACAAAACAAAGCACCTTAGGGAGTTAAACTGTTGTCCTCAAGACAAATATGTCTGTGAATTCTGTCATTTGAAAAGTATAAATTTAGGTTGCAGGATTATTATTTTTGAGATGATAGGAAAAAAGAAATCAGAGGGAGCAGTGGTGATGCATAGCCTGTAGGAAAGCAGTAAACTGGTAAATATTGTAGAGATTCAGATGACCATTGTCAGTACAGTGGAACATCATCCTTCTGGTAAATGCTGGATGCTTCTTTAGTTGTCAGGGGTGGGGCTTAATGATAATCTGTACTTCCTTTCAGTCTTAGTGCATTTTCACATCCACCTTTCATGTCATTGCCATTTTCTCTCATTACAGGGATACAAAGAAGAACGATTGTGCTGGGTTTCTTGCACGTACTGTAATGGAAATACCAAAGAATTCCTTCTTTTTATGTGTAAGAGGTCACAGATAATGTGATAAAATAGCAACAGCTCCTGATGATAAACAAAAGCATCTCTGCATTGCTTTTCCAGCCTGACTGGCTGACAGGTCTGTGGGGCTTGTGGCAGGGGTGTGAGAGGGTGGGGTTTGGGGGAGGTCACTTGTCATGGGTTTTCAATATTTCTAAGGCATTCCAGCCAAGTTTGGAAACTCAGTAATCAGCACGTAAATTAATTGAGCTTTTCCTGTGTTTATTGCCTGTATTTTCATCTGACATCCCCTGGGATGAGAGTGATGGTGCTCAGAAGGAAGTATTTCCTTTTCACCACAGTGTGAAATATAGAAGTTGCTGTGATGATGTTTGAGGGCAAGAAGGTACGGGGCCTTATTCTGCCTGGAGATTTTGCCTGGGGTAAAGCTGGTGTTCACCTGGGATTTCCAGCCAGCAGGAGGGCAGATGGTGAGCAGGTGTCTGGCTGACCAGGGCATTTGTTCAGAGCTCCAACACAGCCAGTGCTGTGCAAAGGAGCTGCTGATGAGGAGTGGGTGCCCACCCCAGAGAGGTTTCTGGAGTATTAAATGCTGCTGTAGAGCTCCTTTTTGGGGGATGAGAATGTGTGTTTGTATTTAATTTCAGACTAGCTTTAGTCTGCAGACTGAGTGCTCCTCTCCTTCTGGAAGGATTCCTGGAGCAGAGCTTCAACTTGATTTCATCCACAAAAAATCCCATCAGCATGCTTGGAGGCAGCATTGTGCCACAGACCAAAGCATAAAAGGGGGAATGAACAGGATTCCTGCCAAAACACACTCATGTCCTGAACTCAACGAGACACCTAGCATGGGGACACCGTGGTGGTTGCCAAAAGATCAGAAGTGGTGGTTGAGATTTTGATACTAATGAAACACAATGAATTTTCAAAAACCAGTTGTCAAACAGCAAAAAACTGCCTCCATCAAATTCTCCCTCTAACTGTATGAAAGCAATGGCATAGGGAGGTCTAGATTAACCCCTTCTTAGTCCTGGTTTGTCTTCCATGGTGGAAAGACCTTTGAGTCCTGTCTGGGAGCAGAGGACTAGGCACATCTTCAGAGCTCTGGCCACTCACAGCCCTGTTACACATACTTGAAAATTACTTGGCATAGTTCTGTATATTAATTCAGAAATTCAGAGGGGTTCTGTGTTATCTCAGTACACAACACTCCTCAGTGTTCCTGTATTGGGTCTGGCTGAGCTGGAATTCATTTTCCCCAGCAGCTCTCCCAGTGCTGTGCTTTGCATTGGTATCCAGAGAGGTGTTGAGAACACCTGAGTGCTTTGGTGGGTAAGGTCCTGAGAGAGGACACAACTGGGACAGCTGACCCAAATTAACCAAAGTGATACTCTACACTGTGTGACATCAGCTCAGAAATAAAATCTGAGGAAAGGAGGAGAAGGGGGAGCATTTGTTGTTTGCATGGTTTGTGTCCTGGAGCAGCTGTTACCTGTGCTGAAGCCCTGCTTCCCAGGAAGTGGCTGAATATCCCTTGTTGGTGGGAAGTAGGGAATAAACCTTTTCCCCCCTCTTTGCTTCCGCATGCACAAACTTTCACTTTAGCTTCAGTCATTTTCCATCTTATTTTCTCTCCCCTGTGCAGCTGGAGAGGGGAGGGATGGAGTGGTGAGCAGCTGGTGCCCAGACAAGGTCAGTGCACCACACCTTGGCAGCCCTGTGTGTGTGTGTGCAGTGTTTGTGCCCGTCTATGGCACGACTGAACTCTTGGAGGTGAACTAATTCCACATCTTGTAGTGCCAGGGTGAAATGATTTGTGTAATTACTGGGATCACCTGTGAAATATTCACTGAAAGTTTTGTTGAATATAATATGAAATAGCAGCAATGAGAGGCATTCAGAATTGTTAAAAACAATTCAGCTAAATAATTTTTGTTTGCCAGTATTATGGATAGTGCATTTTGAAGTCATTAAGGTATTTGAAAAGCGAGGAAGAGGTTCTGTTTTCAAATTGCTTTACTTTGTATCATGCAATATTATTATTTCCTATTACTTAAGCTGATGACCAGGACATAAATTAAAGAGCTGTGTGGATAAAAAGAAAGAGCGAAACAAGAAACAGCTTCATCACAGCTGTTATTTAAGACCTTTGAAAACTTCTGACTTTGATTCTTAGGACAGATTCATTCACATTAGCTTGATTTACTACAGTGACTTTTAACACCATGTTATGTCAGATACAAGGTATGTGGAGCATTTGAGCTGAAAAATACAGATTAAAAATCTTTCTATTAAAAAGAGAAACGATAGTGGACAAGATAATGTCACCAGATAATCCAAGTGTTGTACTGCTCCAGGTCAGAATTCAGGGGATTAAATTTGTCCTTGTTTGCTTAAGCCATGAGGACATGGGTCTCAGACTTGAGTTTCAAAAGTGAACTGTTGCCTTTCAGCCAGCCCTGTGGGGCCCTATTGAAGTAGAACCTTTACCTTTAGGGTTAAACATTCTGAAGGGAAAAACTTTAAATAGATGCATTAATTTTCACATTGTCGAAGCTGATTTCCTTGCAAGGTTGCCTTAGCTTGGAAGAAGAGCTGAGGTATTTGTTTCTAGAAGAATTATATTTCATAGAAGATGGTAAGAAAGGCATATTTTCCCATGCTTTTTCCTTTTCTGTTGGAAAACAGTAGGTGGTTGTAACCTACCTAACACTTCTAGATGAATTTCTAGCTGTAGCTGGCACCAGCCACAGTAAGTCTGGCCTAGAACCTACAACAAGATAAGCCTAAAAGTAAACCAAGCAGCCACAGGAGTGCTTAGCAATTGTACCTTAGAATATGTGCAACACACTTCAGAAAAATTCTTGTGCACTTCTTTCCTTTTGTGAAGTTTTTATCCCCTTCATGTACTTGCTGGCTAGTTGTTCTAATTTTCTGAAGAAGCTGGGATCACATCCCATTTTAATAAGGTTTTGGGACCTTCTTGGTCAGCTTTGATGTCCATTCCTGCCTGTCTGAATCCAAGCAGGAAAAAGCAGCTGCCTTCTCTGCATCAAAATGTTGGTCTGGAGACAGAGGCTCTGATGAGGAAAATAAGCACGAGGGAAGTGACAGTGATGTCTTCAGATGGTGAGTTATGAATTAAAAATTGCAGGTGCAGTCCTCAATGTCAGTTAAGGATAAGAATGTGATGGATGTGAACAAATATGCTCTGATGATTCCACTGTTTCTGCATGAAAAGTTGTCATAATTGTTTATTTATGAAGTACCATGAAGATGTTCTGGATTTCATCATCTGAGAAGTAGATGGGGAGACCAAAGATGCTAAAATTTCCAAAGATTTTTAAGTACTGCTTTGTTCTGCAGTTCAGTTACAGAAGAATTAAAATCACAACTTTTTAAGGTGGATTCATATGTGATAGCTGTTGGATTGCTGCATTGGATCAACATAATTCTGAGTTTGCCTCTGTCATTTTATTCCATGAATAAGTTGATTGGTACAAGGTATTCAGTAGACTTTGAAAGCAATGCATTAATATCAAGTCTTCAAATACATGTTAATTACAGTAATAATATTTTGATAGTCTGGAGACCAGAAAAAATGATTCCCAGAAGGAAACCAATAGTTTCAATGAATTAACCTTCAAAGAGAGATTCCAAGTATAAAGAAATAAGAAACCTCTTCGATGCTGATATATCTAAATTATCTTGAATTTTATTTTCATGTAGCTGTAAGAACATGGATTTTAACTGTGTATGTTAGGAGAGAAGAGAATTAAATGAAAAACATATTTTAAAATACTTTCGTGGCAGGGGTTTTTTTTACATACGAGTAATTATCATAAATTATTATTTTTGATATTTTTATTAGATACATACACCTTGAGCCCAGAAAAAGTAAATTTTTTATTTTATTTCTCAGGGGAGGAGAGGTAGGGCCAAATATTATCCTTGGCAGGCATAAAGATTGTCAGGATTTTGTCCACACTTGGTATTTTCAAATTGTTCTCATTCTGCACTTGTATCTACTCAGTTCTGATGAAAAAAATCACTATTTGCCTGTTGGGCACTCCTGGAATAAAACCCACAATTTTTACTTTAATTTCTTTTAACACGTGGATTTTGTAATGTAGCAATGTTTCTCAATGAAAACAACAGCAACAACCATATAAATAATTTTGCTAAATCAGTTAATTGTGAAAGACCAAGCTTCTGTTTTTCCTTTTCTGTGCTGCAATAACACTTGAGTTTCAACAAAAACCCCTAATCTGTTAATTCTTACACTTGGACTGCATAATGACTACTTATAGCCCTTCTTACCTTTATTTGACCCAAATTAACCTGGAAAAACTCAATACTGTGAACTTTGGAGACTGAACATAGACATCATCCCCAGTAAGCAAGGAGGGAGTAACATGGATGCATTGACATAATGAGCAAACAAATGCATTGACAGGATATAATGAGCAGTAAAATGAAGAGGGGGCTTTTAGTGAAATTGGAACAGAGTTGAAGTAAAGGAAATGAAATTTAAGTATGGCACAAGTGTTACTTATGAAAAATACTATTTTCAAAAACATTTACCACTGCAGTATACTAAATAAAACCAAGTTTAATATGCTGAGACAAAGTTTTTTGATTGAAATAGAAATACCTAGATGAAGCAGTACGTTTAGTTACTATGAAAGACGAATTGGTATACTTGTATAAGCTGTATCTAAATGCAGAGAGTGACACTGTCAGAGCAGATAATACAATGCTTTAAAAGGGAATTTGGAAAAAGAAATGTACAATGAGAAAATGTCTTTACACTGGAGTGGATTAAAAGGGCTACAGGCAAATTCATTGGTGCTTTGGAGTAATAAGTTTGCTGAGGACAGACTTGAAGCAGTGTGGGTTTTTTTTAATGTCTTTAGAGTCTGCACTATTTCACATGGTAGAAACTTATTTGTCAATGTACAATATTATCATTAAGATAATTCCTATATTTGTGTATTTTTTTACTAGCAAAAACAATTAGAAATGAATTTGAAATGTAAGGAAAATGCAAGAGAACTCCTACGAATACTGATAGAATAACTTATGCTGCTGGTTTTGTTTTGATAATTTGCTTACTGTAGATATATTAAATAAAGTTCATATCCTTTTAATTTATTGGTGCCTGCCAGCTGCTGTTTGTAATGCAACATGTGCTTGGGACAATATATGCAGGGTAATATTTATTTTGATTTTTTTGGCAGGTTCAGGTCAGCTGCACATTTTGTTTTTTTACTTTTTCTTTCCCTCCACTTCCCTTAAGTCAGGAACCATAGCTTCCTGTAATGTGGCTTTTAGATATTCTCTAAGGAAATTGAATTTCTGGATTCAAAAGCTGCCCATCTCAAGTTCAAGAGCTCTTCTTTCTTCATGAAAACATATTTATGAAACTATATAGCTTAGGAAAATTTTAATCAGCCTTATGAAAGTTCTTTCTCTTTAAACATAGTAGGAAATCTAAAAAGAATTTAAAGATAAAGGCACATTGTTGAAGTTTAGCAAACTGCCTTAAAGGTTCATAATAACACTGTAGGATTTAGGAATTTAAATTCCTTTTATTATACAATCAAAACCACTTGTAAGTATATCAAATACTTTGCCTGGTTTACAGACTTAACATTCCAAAGCAGTATGGCCAAGAGCTCCACCTTTATTTTGAGCTTAAGAAACTATTAGGAACTTGATGGCCTTCTCTGGGAACAGAGTAGATGTTGAAAAGAACCAAGTCCACTTGGATGCAAACTTAGAGAATTGGTGGGGTTTTTTTGAGGTTTTTTTAAGTTTTGCTGTGTGTTAGAAAGTAAGATATTGGAATTTTCACTTCTTTAAGTGATAATGCATTTGGGAATGAATGAGGCTAGTTGTGGTGTGTAGTTATTTTCACTACTCATTCTTTCTGAGCTATGCAGCTGCAAAATTACGGAACATAAACTGTGTGGCCAGAAATTTTACTTGTCTTATGAATGTTTCATGCCTTGGGCTAATACAGCTTATAAAATCTGGTGGCAAGCTTAAGGAATATAAATAAACTAGTTTCACATGTACTGTGTTAGCCTGTTGATGCAGACAATGTCATTTAAGTTTTATTCAAGCTAAATAAGAAATCTGTTAATCTTATTCCTGCATGCCTCTTAAAGCCCACAATAATTTTGTATATACTTTTTTTCAAAATTATGAAATAAATTGCTACCTAAAGCATGTAACTGCTGATTAGTCAGTGGTTAGCTGATGATTTACAGATGGGAGTGAGATGATCCAGATTGCAGGCCAAGGAGCTTTTTATAGTTCTGGTGTATCATTTGGATGAAATTGCAACCATGGGTGCTTTAGAAGAAGGGTGATCAAGTAGTTGAAGTGAGGTACCTCTTGTTAGGTTACTACATCTGTTCTTTATTTGACTGTGGTGAATACAGTGAAACTTGCTGGGGCATTCATTAAAACATCTGTCTCCTGGGCATCTCTGCAGAGAACAGTTAAATCCAAATACTGTGAGAAAGTGATAAAAAGTGAATTCACTTTTATCATTTCAGTCTAATCCTGTTACTTGCCCCAGTGCCTCTGTCCTGGATTTTCTTCCCTTGCCCTCTTCTGGCTGTTGTCTGTAGTCCAGGACCTTGCTTCCACATTTCTCATTGATGGTGAGAGACTTCCCTCAGGTGCTGAGCTGAGCTTATCCTGATGATGGTTTCCAAAGCTTATATGTAGATACTCTGAATTGGTAGAATGGATACTCTGAGAATATTTTATCTCTGAGCAAAGAGTTTATTGTGGTGAGCAATTGCTGAGAAATGTGTAAAGAGATTTCTGAACTGATCTAGATTTCAATGAGACTTTAGTATTAGATCAGTATAATTTAACATGATTAAAAGTGTCAGGCTCAGGTATGAAGACAGTCTTGTAGTTTCTAAACCTCTGTAAAAATACTCTTTACAGTCTGTAAATTTATAAAAGCATAAATAATATCTAAGATAAAAGAGGTGTCTCAAAAGAGAAGTAAGTACAATGTACAGAGCAGCCCTATGATTATTGCTCTATACTCACATGCAAGAGAATGTTGTGACTTGCTTTAATAATGTCACAAGCTTTGTAAACCTATAAAAGAGAGACAAATTGAAAAAAAAGAAACCCTCCAGGTTTGGCATTCTGAAAAGCATTAATTTTTTATAGACAGAATCAGTGCTTGTGGTGTAGTCTATAAAATGTTGAAGACACTTGCCTGGCTGGGTCAGGTGGTGTTAACTGCATCCTCAATGGTTTTTATATTCTGTTGACATTCTCCAAATGAGGTTGGTAGTTGACTCTCTTATTCAGTTCAACTCCAAGTCATTTCAGGAAGTTGTTATGCATTAACTTTGCTATTTTATTAATATTATTCTCCTCCTCCTCTCTTTCTTCTCAGATGAACTTAAACAGATGCTAGATCTGTGCAAGTATCTGATTTCAGGCTCTAGGGCCAGAAGTAGGTCCTTAAAATTCCAAGATCGGCTCTAGAAATAGCCTTTAAAAGGTTTACAAGAGTAACCGTCTTATTTTGTAGTACAAGCCATAACTGGAAATGTGATTTCATCTATTTTAAGATAAATTTGCAGTCACACAAACTGTAGTAACAGTGATTTATCACAGCTGTAAAAGATTGGTGCAAGCTCAGAAACTTACCCAACAATGAATGTTTTCATGAGACTTATTGCCAAGGCAGGTACAGGGGAGGTTTTGTTTTTAATATCTCAGATGATTTAGTTGATCAGAGTGAGAGCAGAGTGGCAATTTATAATTGACAGACTAAGTTAAGTCTTTCTGTCAGGCAGCATTAGGTGTGGAGGAAAGGTCAATGAATGCCACCACAGTTTTTCATTGCCCTTGGTAGCCAAGTGTCTCCGTGAAAGTCAATGTCAGAATTTCACCAAGTGACAACTGGTTTAACCCTTCCTTCACCAGTTTTGAATGCAGCTCTGTTACTGCTGTGAGCTGTGACACTTGGTAAATGGAATGGCTGGGTTCAGTTGTCATCTTAATCTACAAGAATGGTTGTAAATTTTCAAAACTTCTGCCCTTCAAATATGTATGGAGATTATACGTAAAGAAATTTTGACAGTCAAAATCTTTCTTTCAAACCCAGGTACTTACAGCACTCTGTAAAGGTGCCAAGGAGTCCAGCAATCTTTTTGATTTATTTTCTATACTGTAGAGGGAGCTGAGAGTACAGCAGACATGTGACATCTTGATGGAGTTCTGGAGATATGTTCTGAGGCTGGAGTTGTTTGCTGATGCCTTTAAGTTTATGATGAACTCTGTGGATCAGCAGCCAGACTTTCTTGTACTGGATTTTAAGTCTTGGTACACTGCATCTGCTAAGTGGAAGTTATGTCAGGCTTTACAGCTTGACTTTGCAAAGTCAATACTCTGTGTTCCATGTTCTCATTCTTTTAATCTTGTCTGAACAAATCGTGCCATGTTGTCCCTGAATTTCTATCAAATCATACTGGTTAAAACTAGGAATGCCCCTTAAAGGCTTAATGTAATATTCCTCAGGATTTGGCAACATGAAGAAGATACTGGTTTTCCAAAGAGACCTGAAAAACCCTTGTTCTCTAGCACTGACAGTGTTATTCTCTGAGGTGTATCCTCTGAGAAAATTCCTAAGTATGTCTCTCACAAAGATGAGTGCTTATTCTTCATGTTCAGTGGTGGCATGCAGTGAAAATGAACTCAGACTTTGCTTGTGGATTTTCTGTCTCTGCTCAGAAGATCCCCTTCCTATCCATCCCTTGGGCACTGGGTATCCCTGGGAGCAGCCTCTGCTTGCACTGCCCTTCTGCTCAGATGGGTTTTGTAGCTGAACTTGATGTTTTACCTGTTTCACATTAACAGGAAAAGCACCAAGAGAGCTATCCCAGAGAGGTGAGGTAGTTGTGCTCTACTGAAACCCAACTGATTTAATGGAATCTCTAAAAGGAATACATGTTTGTGTGTTGGTTTTCATACTCAGTGATTTAATAAGAAGCTCAGTCTTAGGGGTGAAATTAGCTTTGCCTAAGCAATGCAGCTGGAGTTTTCTTAAGCTGTCTGAAGTTGATTCATGTATCTCAGCTAATTCTTGCTCACAGTTTTTGTTCTCTTGGTATTTCTCAGCAATGCAATTCTTATTCATCCCAGTGCTCAGGCTGAAATCAGTAGAGTGGGAGGGAGACTTGCTTGCTCAGTTGCAGCCTGAAACGCCGGAAATTTGATTTTGTTACCAACTCACCCAGAAGTCCAAAGCCACATGAATAATTCTCTTTCTGGTACTTCAATTCACTTTCTGTGGAATAATAATACTTAGAGAAATGGGTGTAATTTTAAGGTTGGAGAATATTCTGATGTGCTTTATAAAACAAAGAACATTAGAGCTTTCAGTGGTAAGGACCTAATGAAGTTTGTCTCATTTTTGCTTCTACGAGATCATTCTGGATTTTGTCTTTGATCATAAAGCCTGCGTGAAAGTTAAGATTTTTTTTTTCCCATTATTCCTTTGCTTCTGATTTTGCACTGGAAGCAAAGGAAGCTTGAAATTCTGTGTTTATTCATGTCCTGTGCTATCATCAAGAAATATTATTGCAAAATAAATCGTCCTTGTTCTATTCTGCTACAACTAGTGAGAGAAGGCTTTGCAATGAAAAATAACCCTTGAAACTTAGCATTATTCATAAAACAGTTTGCCGTTTAAAATATCTAAAAATCTGTTCCCTTAAAGGTTAAGAAAATTCTGTTGGCCAAGGAAAATACCTTTCAGAGTAAGAAACAATATATTTGTATTTCTCTAGTATGTGTATTGTAGTAATAAAAAAGGACACAAAAGATACTGCATTTTGCTTTTCTGCAGTTCCCTTTTGGTCTTGGCTATGAAACTGAAACTGATTTAGGTAGTATTTTAACATTTAAATTTTTTTTCAATGCATACAGCATGATAATGATCTTCAGATGCACATGTATCACAAAAGATAGCGGTTGTCATTCATTACTGTAGATGTAAGAAACATCAAAAACAATTTAAAATTCCACTTATCTTGGCACTGCTGAATCCTAAAATAATGTCTGAGTATTTACACAGTAGTGTCTGAAAGGTAACACACCCTCTGTGTAGGAATGGCTAGTCTGATG